ATGAAAGGGTGTTGTGCAGTTTTCCATTTGACTCATGAATGTAGTAGGTGTACTCAATAAGTGTCTGATCCTTCACTAGCGTCAGAGCGTGTTCCATCATGAGTCTTGTTTGATAGCAAAGATCCTGTGCCACCCTTTCTAACCAACCCTCGGTTTTGTCTCGGTGCAAAGAACAGGTCACCCTTAGTTTGTCTCTGCCCCCCATCTCACTGCTAAAGCTCCTTTGCTTTGAGGGCGATCGAACCCGTGCATATGCGTCTTAGGATTAACCAAGGATAGATTGATTTTTAGATAGTTTTGACTAAATGCACTCAAAAGTGAAGTGGGCTAGATAATTTAGCCTCAACGATATCTCAAAGGGTAAAGATCGAGAGACAATCGCTCATCGTTCTGTTGCTCACGGGATCACCAACATTAGAGGGGGTCCCGAGATGACGAGTGATTTCTGTTGGTCGTTCTGCTAACGAGACAATCGAGGATAAGGAATTCAAACAAATTGTTACTTGGAATCTTGCTCTTGCCTTCCCAATGGTTTCATGAAGGAGTAAGAGTGGTGACGGTTAACCCCCAGATAACTTTCCAAGACTACCTCACACATGCTCACATACCCTGCGGTGATAACTACAGGTTATATAAGGCCTTCAATCAACTGCTTACTTCATAAGGGATATTTATACTCTGCATGAGCATGACTGCAATCCCACCTCATTGGAAGAGATCAAATTCAATCCGCGTGAGTGGCATTTTTCACCTTTGACCCATAGTGTTTTCTCCGCTTGTCCGATTGTCTCGAGCGATGTATTGGGGCGGGTTATTAAAGTGGCCAGGCTCGGGTAAATACACTGCAAGCTCGTATGTGTTTCGTCCCTTGATAGCACCGGGCGACCTTTGCTCTTCTGATCTCTGAATTTTCTCGTGATGTGTTCCTGCCTCAGATGGCTTTCAGCCTAGCCTTTTTCAATTGCACAGTATTATGCACAGTCGTTCTTTAAGCATCTCCTCTCTTTCCCACACTACAAGCCATTAGAAACCTCTCCTGCACGGCCTATGGACTCTATGGATGACGATGTTATACAGTGACCTATCTCACTCACAGAAGTAGACAGAGTAAGTATCAGACTTTTAAGTTTTCATTAATCCCTGTGCACTTTCTCACACGAGACCCTCGTCGTACTGCACACCTCTGACTTCTTCCTTTCCTCGGTCCCCCTTTCTGCCTCGATAGAGAGTACAGAGTATCCCCAGGTTTCCCTCAGGGACCCCATACTCTATTCGAGGTCTCTCAGCCACTACCCTTGGGTGGTTGATTAGATCTCGTAGGGACTTGTTTCCAAATCCCCCATTAGTAGCAGGTTGCTATTACTGGTAACTGGCTGCTAACTCTAACGATAGATGGCTAGCTCTGGAAAGGCTCAGAACGGCGGCAGGGACCGTTGGCGTCTCACTCAATAGTTGACCAAACTTGACTAGACGATCATTGAAAACGAGTCCAGTCCGCTGACTCACACGTCATGGATACAAGGCGTAAGATGTTGTTGGCTGGGAGCACGTCAGTTCTTAGAATCGACTAGTGACAACTTGGGGCGAGGCAATATGAATTGAGGCAAAGTGCCATCCAGAGCCTTCTTGGTTGGAAAACAAGGGGCCGGTCTTCTGTCCTCGACCTGTGGTAATAATAGGGGGTACTGTTTAAAACCTTGTCTAATTATTCTCGCAGAACTGATTGCCACTTCCAACGAACAAATTGCGTACCAATATTCCCGGGTCGCGGGTTCTCTGTCGAAATTCATTAAGATCAGTTCTAGAAGGATACAGTACCACCAGAATGCAGACACATCCCACTTGTCGAACTAGCCCTGGTGAAGTTTACAATTAAGGAAGAGTCATCAACTCTTAATCAAATGGGCCCTAAAATTCGATTAAATCCCCTTTTCATGAGAACTCGAGATTAATTGCCATCGAGCAAGTACTTCATTAGTAAGAGGGCTATCTTTAGTATCACAAACCGTTTCCCGCTCATGGACAACATTAATGGAAAATAATTGGAACTAGAGGACCGCACTCAAGCAGGCTCGCATTCAAGGCCAGCTCGTGTGGCCTCTCTGATCACCTGTTTCCTTTTTCACTTATAATACCAGCTACCAGTTTCTCTAGAGATCTCAGGGCGATCTGTCTCAGCTCACACACCTCATATAATCACTCGCAAGCCCATGCTCACAAAATATTTACAAGTCAGTTCATTTGCCCATTTGTGCATTCACTGTGCCCACAAGTCAGTACGACTGTACGAAGGGTATGTAGGCTCATATATGCTTACCCGTTAATCGTCGTACCTACTGGCCAAAGTGACCACCTACTCAAATGACCAAATGAGTCTCTGCGGGCTTGTATAATTATGTGCTAAATCGCTTATGCAGGTGGTGCTAAAGTTGATCAGGTCCTGTTAAAGCAGACTTCAACTAGCCAGGAAGGAGGGAAAATGACAACATCAAGTTTGGCGCGCTGAGTGTGGTTAAAGCCCACTACCTCGGGCCTCCAATTCTCAGAGGGATAATTCCGAGTCGCCGAGATGGATTAAAGGGGGGTAAGTTGAAAGGGAAATCTTGCTAGACCAAGGTCGAGTACCTTTTGCAAAACAATACATTCCACATCTCAGGAATTTCATACTCAAGGGGAATCTTGCTAGACCAAGGTCGAGTACCTTTTGCAAAACAATACATTCCTCTTCAGGATCCTGAAGCGCTTCACTCCCTTTAGTCAGATTCACTGAATCTGACCCTGTGGCACCCCAAAACGCCAACTGATAAAATCTCGCCACAGAACCTGAGATCCGTTGATGCTATAAATAGCCCCAGATGGGGTTATTTCCTCCTGAGATTGACACAGACTGTCAATATCCCTGAGCGCTACTCAGGGATGAAGCCGCTCCGCGATCCTTGAAGTCTTCAGGGGTAATTCGCCACTCAGGGGTACTTCGCTACACTACCCTCAGGGTTGGCTATGGCGAATTGACCCTGTTCTCGCCACTTTCAAACAAGCGCCCTGACAGGCTCAGAGCGCTTGCTTAGTGCAAGCACTGAACTCCTCAATCCACCGCTTGAAGTCTTCTTCCCTGCTGACTCGGTACTAAGGAAGATGAATCGCCATGAAGCTCTCGCCAGTATGTCGCTAGATGAAGAAGCTTCCCGTTGCACTCAACCCTCAGTGCTCCAATTCCAATCTCGCTCCGATATCAACTGTTATGAACTTGGTTGTCTAACGATTTTTACCGCCACTCACACACAGACAATCTCATACACGCCCATACATGCATAAGAGAAGGGGGAGAGGAGACAGAGTCCAAACTGCACACAGATCAGAGTAGATAGCGGAAGCACAACAGTGCACAGATGGGGAGAGGACACACAGTGTTTCCCACTCTTTGACGATACTCCCAACAACCAATCACAAGGAAGAACCTGCGAGGATAACAATTGGAATACACACTGATGATGAGCCAATTAACCAGAAATCGTTACAGAGTTTGTTCCAGTGTCTCACCACTCTCAGAACCTCACACTCCACTCTCTACCCTACACCCAGTTAGTAGCGCCACATCAGAATGGCCTCCCAGAGGCCAGCGCCAACCACCCAGATGAAGAACAGATCCTGTGATGAAGTCTTCAGTGCTGCTGAACAACTCTGACGAAGAACCGGCAGCTATGGCTGCCGCCACCCACAAGAACTCAGTGAAGAGTCCTCACACAGTCCAACCACTCGCAGGAACCCACAGGGGTTGGTGCGCAGAGGATGCCCCAGCTATGGCAAATCCTCAACAGGCTGGCTATGGCTGCTGTTCGCGGTGAGGGTCTCAGGTTCCGCCTGCTGACAATCGCCGCTCCCAAGCTCTCCTGGCTCCAAACGCTGCATCGCGAAAATGAACTGCCAAAAGTCCAAACCAATTCCCCTAAACTATTAATAGACTCCTACCACTCTAGCCTAGACCTAGACCGGACTGACTGACCGACCGGTACCGGTTCTGTTTCGGCCTCTCGGCCTCTACCGGACCCGGCTATAGGCTATAGGACCGTCTATCAGCTTAGGCCCTTAGGGCCTGTCTGTCCTAGGGGTAGCCCGGGCCTGCTAAATGTAGTGGGGGTAGCTGTAGGAAAATCGAAGTACCGCTGGGCCTATTTTTTCCATATTTGCAGATATGTCCCTCACGAATTTTCCTTACAGATAGGTCTCTTGGTTAGCCCTCAGCCAAACAAAATTACAAATCTAACCTACTGCTGTACTGTACAGCCTCACGGTTAGTCGGCAGTCGAGATCAGCAAGTCATTGCACAGAGAGAGAGAGAGAGAGAGAGAGAGAGAGAGAGAGAGAGAGAGAGAGAGAGAGAGAGAGAGAGAGGGATGCTTGAAGGCGGCCATTGCAAGTTTTAAAGACTCTCTGTAATAACTTCGAATTTGCACATAAATCTGCATGTGTTTGCATTGTGCAAATCTGGTCTGCTCTGTGTGTGTGGCACATGCATGTTCCATGGGGAAATTACAAGCATGAATATGCGGGTCATAGCAATAAAGAAGAAGGCAGATAACTGGGACCTTGTCCATCGACACCAAAATCATCAATATCTTGATATGTTGCGACAAACACATGATTGTGATTTCTTGTTTAGCTAGGCTGGAATGGTTTGCCAGTTTCTTTGCAAATGATGTTGGAAATTCAAAATTGTCAATTGCGTTAGTCAACCCATTGCCCAAGTTGGAATTTGGTTTCCTATTGTCTATCCCATCACGAAGGACTTGAACTAACAACAGTGTTCCGCCCACCCCCAAAAGAGAGTTTTACTGTAAACATGCTGCAAATGGAAACTTTGCAAATGAACACTAGAGGACAAGCATTTGTGAAGGGGTGGCATAGTAAATGTGCGAGAGTGTGGAGTAAACGCTCCAACCATGGCACCGGAGGGAAGGGGGTCTCTGGTTGATAGGGTTGTTGTGACTCATGAGTGGCAGGATGGAGGTCCCATTTTATCGGGGCCCCTGAAAGTGCACGGCGGAAGAGAGTACACTGTAGGAAAAATGAGTACCCAGCCGTGGGAGTGTAATAGAAATTGAAAAAATGGTTACTAAAAAATAGGTGGGGACCATGAGCTGTGCCATTTCCAGTAGGGTCACCACCCTCGAGTGCACTGATACCACGGTCTGCCGCCTAGGGAGGGGCCAGGCTTACCATGGACAGCAAAGCCCCATTAGGGTCGCTGCTGAGGGAACAGGGAGTGGCAACCAGTCTGACAGATGAGCAAGAGAGGTGGTGAGTGGGTGGGAAGAGTAGGGGAAGGGTGCTTAGGGAATTACAATTGCCATCCTACCACCGGAATGGCTGTGCGACAGAGACTGATCCTGGTATCACAACCCTGCACAAGAAGAAAACAAGAAAGACAAGGATTTATGAAGGGTTGTTTAGCTCTTTGTGAACCCATCGTTTCCCCTTCTTCCTATGTTCCTCTCCATTTTACCCCTCGTCCTTCCCCTTCTCTGCCCCCTCTTCCCGTCTTCTCCTCCTAGCCATGAAAGAATCATCCATTACGTGACCCTCCATGGACTGCAGAGGACATAGGTCCTCTCAGTGGCTCAGACATCGGTCTGAAACCATGTGAGGAATAGACAGGCACAATAGATTGCAAGCTTTGGAGTCCTGAAGCTGAGCTTGGCACACCCCTTTTCCCGTCTTCTCCTCCTAGCCATGAAAGAATTATCCATTACGTGACCCTCCATGGACTGCAGAGGACATAGGTCCTCCTCTCACTGGCTCGAACATAGGTCTGAAACCATGTGAGGAGTAGACCGGCACAATAGATTGCAAGCTTTGGAGTCCTGAAGCTGAGCTTGGCACACATATTGTACGACGATGTTTGGCCTGAAGTTTCATCAGGGTCTTCTGATATGATGCGGCAGCATTAATCACGTCCAACAGCCGTGAGCTGAATCAAACATACACACAAAACACACGAATCAAAGGCATGAAAATAAAGAGATCCTAATTGTGTCCAGCTTTGAAGTCCAATTACCATGGACGATAAACAGAGATGATCCCAAAATGTTCACTGTGCCAAAAATGAAATGAAGATAAGAGGAAGAAATTGGAGTCATCCTGGTTCAGTTGAAATGGTTAAATAGTCCCATCTCAATGAAGAGCAGAAGGAGCGGAAGATGAAGGTTATGAAAATCATGACCGATGTAGTGTCTTAAAGCATGAGTGCATGGCCCCAGCCAAGTTGAGAGTCCAATTGAGCCTCTTCTGAATCGATAAAATAAATCAACAGCAGGTGGCCTCTGACAGGGGCCCACTGCCGATGGCTGGCATGTACTTGTGGTTTAAGAGCAGCACTCATGTACACCGACTTTTCTGTTTGCCTGATATACACCTGAGTGTTCTGCATTTGCCGGGTGCAGGTGTCTGGGTGCATTCGAGGCCATTGCAGATGCAGGATGCCAGTGCAATGAACCCAGGCAGATGAGAAGCTCATGAATGTTGAGATACAAGTCTGACTCAGCGCAGCATTAATGTCTCCAGAAATCGTTTATGAAACCATGCCCGACGTACATGTAACCTAACAATGTCTCGAACTTCAGAGAAGAGAGTGAGGAAAGGGGGTGAAGAGACTGAGAGGATGCGGAGGAGGAGAGTTCTCACAAGAATCAACCAAGCAATAGTCCCTCCTCAAGCCCACTTCCTCCTCGGGCATCTCCCTCTCTCGCCACCTCAGCAATGCAGTTCTCCTCTGACGATCTCTGACATACACAATAATCAGGTCACAACAGGGCGCCCATCCTCCATCCACGTCAGCAGCAACCTGGGAGGATGGCCCAGATTCTCTTCATCCACTTGGAGACGATCAGCATATCACAAATGACATCACGGTAATTCCAGGTAACCATCCCCTCATCACACGCACCAATCTCACAGTCCAGATCCCCCTCCTTCTCGCCCACACTCCTATCAATCTCGAGATCTACGTGGCTATGGCCACGACGGCATAATCTCCCTCAAGGCTGGCGCCCACACTAAGCTCCAGCAGCCTTGCGTTGTCACACCAACAACAACCCAGCACAAGGCAGAATGCCCTCCAAGAAGGGGCTGGGTCTACTTATAGTGTTGACTCATGTTGACCAGCCTCTCTGGTCTCCTGGCATCGACGGCCCAGATTAATCGGAAGCCAAGGACACTGCACCGTTGCAGATTTCCCACCCGTCCCACTTGGACCGGATTCTTCTGGATACCTGCAGACAACCAATAATGTGCATCTGATCTACGGCCGTGACTGATCAGCGGAGTGACTTTTGACCTTTGGGACTGGATTCCCGTGCTGGGGTTGACTGTTGACTTTCTTGAAGTCAACTATTCCTCGTAGGGCCTCTGAATGCTGGTTTTGGCCCTCCCCTGAGTACCCCTTGGCCTTATGCTTTTGCCCAGACTTTCTTAGACTTATGGCATGACTTTTGACCCCTGTTTCGGGCCTTTGACCAAAAGTGACGACCGAGAGCAAACAGCTTATGCAGATTTGAGCCGAGTTATCGCATTCCATCCAGCCCGATTTAGAGTTCCATCGCAGAAATTAAGTGCTTTTCAGGCTCGAACTTTCTTTCAACCCACGCTCATATGCTGCAATGATATTAGGTGCGGTGGCTAATAATTCATTCTCGCTAAACAAGCATGAGTCAGATTCTAGTTGGTTAGTGAATGTTACCTTGTACTTTAATTGCAGTCTCCCTCTTCCACCTGTGGAGAAGTAACCGTGGTCGATATGTCTCTCTACTTGATACCCACCGTCCATGGAAGGAGGAAACATAGATGGCATGTTTGGAAAGTCGTAACCTCCAACGAAGGGCGGCAGTTTAAACGCGAGAAAGACAAGGTAGGTCTCTAGGTGCGGGAGTTCATCAATGCGGTATGATGGTCCATCTTTATCCCCTATCACCTTGAGAAATTTTGAGTGTCCGTAGAAGACAGGTAACAATTTTTTAAAATATTCCTTCCTTAAGATAGAATTCATTCGACTTTACCCACACCAAATCACCTTCTTTGAACTGAGTTGGTCTTCAATGTTTGGTCGCTTGTTCAATCATTTGGATTTGGACTTTCCATATATTCTCCTTGACTTTGGCAATATCTTGTTCGTAAAAAAATGCAAATTCTCTCGTACCTAGGGGTAGTCATTGGACTTGTTCCCTGGTCAAAGCATCAATAGGGCGTCTCGACTTCCAACCTTTGTGCATTGCATTGGATGTTCTATCCGTGACAATGTGTACACTGTAGTTATATGCACTCACAATCTTAGATAAGACCTCATCCCAATCAATTTGGTTGGGTCTAATGCACATGCGCAAAAGTTTATGGCACAAGCGACTCATTTGTTCAGTTTGACCGTTCGCTTCAAGATGTCTGTCTGACGACACGGTTAGCCAAGTGCCATAGATTCCCATCAACTTTTGTCATTGTTGGCCTTTAAATCCTACACCTAAATCAGATACGATGGTTTTCGAAATCCATAATTGAAAACCCAACGCATCTAGAATTTTTAGATTATGTGTTTCATTATGGCTTCAGAGGGTAAAGGAATGAACATTGCATATTTACAGAACCGATCCACTTTACCTGACTGCTCCCATTCCGACTTTTGGTGAGACTCACAAAATCAATGGAGATTGACTCACCTAGTTCATTTGGAATATGGAGTTGTTTAAGCAGTCCTTAAGGATTCTCATGAGATGGCTTGTTTCTCTGACATACAAAAAAAGTTCTCACATAGGTTAGACATCCTCTTTCATTCCTTGTCACTTGAAAAACTCACATACATTGGCAAACGTCTTCCTAAAACCAAACTATCCCTTAACATCGTGGCATTCCCCCATAACTAAACTTTTGATTTCTTCCTTATGGGGAATGCAAATTCGTTCTTCGATTTTGTCAATTAAAAAGAGTATGTCATCACTCATTCGAAAATCAGGGAAGAGCTCAGGATTTTTCTGTAGGGTCTGAATGATAGCCTAAGGATTCCATATAGGATCCCCAACATACCCATTGTGAATCTTGTCCTTTAGCGCAGTCCCGACATCAAAGTAGGTAACAATAGTGCCAAAGAAGTCATCTCGTTTCGACAATTTATCAACAACAACATTAGACTTACCTTTTATGGTTTTCAACTCAAAGTCAAAAGTGTCAATGAATCCTGACCATAATAGTAAATTGTCAACCAACTGGAATTATATTTTAATCCGCTTCAAGGTCGGGTGATCTAAATACAGAATGAAGTGTATGTCAAGCAAGTAGTGTTTCCAAGTATCAAGAGTTTCAACTAATGCATACCATTCTCTTTCATAAGTGCAGTTAGTCACCTTCTCTAGTGGTAAGCACTTAGACATAAATTTCACTGGTCTATAACGTTTTCCATCGTCTTGTTGTATCACCGCTCCGATCCCATACTGACATGTGTCAGTCCTGATAATCAAAGAGAAACAAGGATCAACAATTTTAAAGACAAGTAGTGAGTTAACACACGCTTAAGTTTCTTAAACGCAGACTCACAACTTTTGTCTCACAATCAAGGTTTATATTTTTTTAGCAACCTCCTCATAGGCGCAACTACGATCGAGAAATTCCTTACGAACTTCCTCGCGAGTTCTACGAAGGATCGCAACTCGGTGATAGTCTTGGGTCTACGCCAATCTCTGATTGTTGTTAATTTATTTTCTTCAAGCGTTAGTCCTTCTACATTTACTATACGCCCAACATCTGCGTAGCACGGTGAACGTGTTCGCGACCCTTCAAATTCGCGCGAACGGCTCGCGAATATGTTCGGGCGAACATAATTTTTTTTCGTAAAATAATAAAATAATAATATATTTTTTTTGTTTTTTTATTTTTAACTCATGATTGACTACGAATTTGAACATGACTCCAAGGCAAACGTTGCTTGTATTGTTATTTTACATAACATATAGTTTTTTCAGAGTTTTCTGAGAACTTTGTTGTTGTTTTTTTTTATATAATTTTTATGTTCGCATTCGGGCGAACATGTTCGCGTTCGCCTCCAAACGTGAACACGGTGCTAAGTAGCCCAAGATATAACACCAGATTTGAAAAATTATTATTTCTTAGGATTCAGCTTGGAGTTACCTTCTCTCAATTTTTGTAGAACCATTCGCAAGTGATTCTCATGATCCTCAAGGGTTTTACTATAAACAAGGATGTCATCGAGATACACTACTATGAATTGGTCCAACCAATGTCAAAACAATTCATTCATAAATCGTTGGAAGGTTGTCGGCGCATTGGTCAGGCCAAAGGGTATCACAAAAAACTTATAGTGCCCATACCTAGTTCGAAGTGTCGTCTTATGTTGATCTTCAGGGGGCACCTCAATGTGGTGGTAGCCAGACTTCAGATCAATCTTGTTGAAGTACCTGCAACCCTGCAACAGATCCAACAGATCATCAATTCGGGGAAGGGGTTCCGGATTCTTTACATTGACAAAGTTAAATCCTCGATCCAACACACGCATCGTAGGGAGAGGAACTTGACCTAATCTATCATTTTTGCAATAAGTTTATGCAGTTGTTTTCTTAAGTCCTCTAATTCCATCAGGGACATATGGTAGATCGGTCCTATGAGAATCATACTTTCGAGAATAATTTCAATAGTGTGCTTTATAGCACGTTCAGTTACTCTCGTTGCTTTGGTTTGCAAGTCCTGGTATTCGTCGAGAAGTTTTTCGATAGAAGTAGGATAGGATGCAAAGTACCCACCTACGTTCTTAACGAGTACCATCATTACATCTTGCACCAACTTTTGTTTCGTGACTATGCTTCGGAAAGCAGGACGACTCATATAACAAAACGACAATGAGGAGTCAGAACCAGACTTGTGAAAATAATTTAATTGATTTTATTTCTGACCTTTTATTTCTTAAATTAACAATTTTATCTTTGTAATTGACTACCTTCCCTCATACGAAATAACATTTAACGTGGTCGATATACTATGAGACTGTGATGATGCGTTGGTCCACCGGCATAGACGTGATTGGTCTAGGTAGGTCTTGCACCCTCATCCTTAAGTGCAATTTCTTAATTGCGTTCTCAAAGATGTAGGACCGTGTAGACCGATGGTCTAACAAAACACAAACTTGTATCTGCGCAATATTCGCAATCATTCGTTATAATTTTTCATCACTTTCTTAACCCATGAACTTTTTAGACCAAGTACTTCACAACCAAGATTATCAAGGGAATCATCCAATGTAATAGAATACAAGACTTTTTCAAGGTCGACTGCGTGAAGGGTCGAAGAAAAGTCATCCTATGCCATGCGAGTTGGAGGGTTGAAATGGGTTCTTGGTGTCATCTCAACCAAACTCTCTAGCTCCGTAGGAGCAGATGCTACCCCTGCTGGTTGCTCCCTTTTGGATTCCGAATGAGGGGACACCATGCTAAAATGTGTCCCTTAGGGCCGCACTTGAGGCATTAATGATTGTCCATCCGCTCTTGCCATTCTTTATGGGTGAAGCTTATTTTCTCCCAAGGTCATCCAAAAGCAATATGAGGATGTGTCGTGAAGGAGCGTGGCCTTTTCTTCTAAAATTCTTCATTACTGGTGTCTCTCTTCTTGCCCACCATGGCGGTGCAATCACCCTTTCTAGACTCACCGCCACTGTTAGTCTCAACCTCGGTGACCTTGAGGGGTCACCTCTCCATCATCTCATCGTAAAAAACGACAAGAAGGTGGTCCTGTCACTTTTGTCTCCACAAAATTTGATTTGTCTCCACAAAATTTGATTCCATATCCCTCTCGATTGTCTACCTTTCACTATACCGGCATTTGAACCTTTAACTTCAGAGGTCATTTGTTTTCGCTGCAAGTCGAAATCTCGGAACTGCCTGTATGTATACTTACTCAATTTCGAGTCGGCGACTAGTTGCCAATGGACAGACTCAGACAAGATCCGTGAGTAGATGTAGAGGACATGATCATCATGGATGTTCATTCCAGATACCTGCGGCAGACGATCCACTTCACGAGACAAAGCATCCATAGACGTTCAGTGTCGTTGGTTGAGGTAAGTTGGTCAAATGTCATGTCAGTTGTTGTTTTGTCCAAAATCATTTATTTATTTTTCTTCAAGAATCATCACGAGTTTAATGTATTTGCCCAGTTCCCAATAAACTCAAATCTGGCAGCGTTCGGCCAAAAGGTCTCCTAGAGTTACCAAAGTGTGTGACCGAACTTCGCACTAGGGGCATATGGCTTACCTTCAACTGGCAACAGTAGAGGAAACAAAGTATGTCATTTTCATAGCTTTCAATTGAGCTGCAGAACCTACACGACTTACAGGCAAACCTATTTTAGAAGTAAAAAAAGTCAGAATCTTCAGAACCACCCAATTAGTCTCATCCATTATCCCAAAGAGTCGTCAAGAAGCCTTAGCTCTTCGGTGGATTCTTGAAGGCGTTCTAATTATCAAGTTCATGTAGAGATAAAACCAGAAAAAAAACCTTCATTAACAATTAGATGGCTACTTACTGCTTCTCGAAAACGAACAGGCAAAAATATGGTTCTTAAATTAGCTAATGAATTATTAGATGCCACTAAAGACACAGGAGGAGCTATTCGTAAAAAAGAAGAGACACATTGAGTCAAAGATTTGCCTGGTGTAAAATACCATTGTATTGGTTTCATCAATCTAGGGATAATCAGACTTGAACTGATGGCTTCCACCATGTCAAGGTGACACTCTACCGCTGAGTTATATCCCTCAACAAAGAAAAAAAAAGAATTGCACTTTCTATTTATTCATGATTGTTTTCTATTAGGAAAACAAATTGAATCAAAGAATGCGGCCTGTGTTTTACATATGATTTTTTTTGTTAACAGGAGAATCATACTGATCATGTAAAACAAAGACCCTTAATACATGTGATCCTAAGTGCAACGAAGTTGCCTCTACCAAGAAAATTCGGGAACGCCCTCGTTTCCGATAATACCCATGCCTTGGGTGGTGAACGCCACCTGACTATCTTCATGTACTAGGGTCGTGGAAAAATAAGTCTGAATTTCAACTATCCACAACAACAACAACTTTCCTCCTTTCTTTCCGATGTAAGTAAACGGTAAGTTCATTTTTACTTTCCATCTTTTATGTTCTCTGTCTTTCTTTGCAGAGTTTTCAACATCGGTGAGACGTGCACTTTTCATGGCATATTTTAGCAAGTCTGGTCACCGTCTGGAGTTCGGCAGTGACGTGATCAATTTTAGTCTCTACGTGTGCAAGATATGCCATCATATTCTGCATCACGAATGCCCAATCGGTTTCTTATCCAATATTAAAATTTTGCTTTATTTCCTCAACTTTTATTTTCTGTTGTTCTTTCTTTTTTCGTTGTTTCGTATAGGTTTCCTTCTACCTTATCTCTACCTTCAATGTATCTTGCAAGTGTTTGATGATGACATGTATAATTTCTTCACTCAATTCACTTGGTCCTCTCTTCTCTTCCTCCTTTATTTCTTATCCTGCTATCTTCACAAACTTCTCAGTGACCAAATGATCCAGACTCAAGTGAGTCTGATTAATTGTATGTTGCATGCGCCCGCTTACTTCGTGCAACACAACAACAGTGTCATCCTTCTCGAGTTTGTTTTCTGTTGCCTGCAGATCGAACTAGCTGCATACATGTTGTTCCGCTTTGCACCAGTGTCGTGCAACTCGGTGAGCAGTTGGCGAAGGCGGCCAAATATATATCCTCTCTTGGTTGCTATCTGCCCCTTCGTTCTTACATATTCTTCATGTTCTTCTTCTTGATTAGCGAAGAAGGTAAAAGAGATGGGGAAGAAGAAAAGAGTGATAAACCAAGTCAGGATGGATGTCCACATCTCTCGCCAACAGGTACTGGATACACCAGCCAACCGATGAGTTATCAAACATGATGGAAATAGACAATGTCGCTTTTCTCCTCCCCAGCCGACACTTCAGATCCTCGTCATCATCTTCATCATCATCATCATCATCATCATCATCATCATCATAGTCCCGCGCAATAACTCAACCAGCAAATGACGAGGAAGGAAGATATTGCTTTTATACCACATTGCAATGAACCCAAACAGATTGCTGCTTCCGTTGTCGGCAACTTGGACACCAACAAACAAACTCCCCCAACGTCGGCCAGTTCACTCGGCACGTGAACTGGCCGGCAGGCCAACAATGGCTTTAGAAATTCATAACCAAGAAACTCACAACCGAGGAACGCGCCTACCTACAGGCCAACAATGGTTTGCTTCCATGACCCGCAACTTGGACACCAACAAACAAATTGCCCCAACATTGGTCAGTTCACTTGGCGAGTGAACAAACCTGCGACATCCACTCCTTCGACCGTCGTGGGACTCGGCCCCTCCTCATCATGAACTTTGTACCCTTGATCTCAAAGTGCACCTTACTCCACCGACGACATCCTCCACCCCGTCAAACGAGATCATCACCGCCTCGTGCTCTTCCACTCTCCTCCTAAACCCTTCCTTCATCTCCTTCTCTAATGTTGTTGTTGAACAAGCACGACTCGATCGGCTTGTTAAGTTAGGCTTCGAACAACGCCACCTCAACACCATGATCTCCTCCACCTCCGTCGACGACTCCTGATTCCAGCTCAAATTCATCGCCGCCTCCTTCGGTGCACTCAAGTTCCAAGTTCTCCTTGACGGAGCTACCGGTAACTTCATCACCGACGCTTGTGCCCGCAAAGTGGGTCTCCCTTCCACCGACTATGACTCCTTGATCACCATTCGACTCGGTGACAAGGACATCACCATCGTAGTAGACCGCACCGTTCCCAAGACCAAAATGATTGTCGACTCTCTCCGCAGTCAAGTCTCATTCGATGTCATGCACTTGATGTGCGACATCGTCCTGGGAACCCCATGGATTGACTGTTTCATGCCCTACGTATTCCTTCCCACCTTCTTTCGCATCACCTCACCCCCCGGCTCTACCCTTGACATTCCCTACTTTCCTCACCCTACCTCCCAACCTTCCATCACTCCCCACCAGTTTCTCCACATAGCTCGTCACAACCCCGACTCTAGCTATTATTGTCTTGTCCTTAACCATGAGCATCCCGAGGACTTGCTTCTGACGGACAAACACTACCAAGTCCCCCCTTCCGACCCCGCTCTTACCTCTATCCTCGAGGAGTTCAAGGACGTTTTTCTCGAGTCCTTGCCCACCGGACTACTTCCGGATCATGGTGCCTCTCATACCATTGATCTCGAACCTGGTCACACTCCTCCATGTCGACCACCCTACCAGCTGTCCGTTCCCGAGGCCGAAGAAATGAACTGACAGCTCAATGAACTCCTTGAAAAAAGATTCATTAAGCCAAGCTCCTCCCCCTTCGGCACAAGTTGCCTCTTCGTCAAGAAAGGCGGAACCTCCAAACTCCGCATGTGCACAGACTACCGCGCCCTCAACCTGATCACAATCAAGAACAAGTACCCCTTGCCTTGCATCTCCGAGCATCTTGATTGCCTCCGTGGATCCGAGTACTTCACAAAGATCGACCTCCACATTGGCTTCCGCCACATCTGCATTCAATTGAGGATACTCATAAGACCGCCTTCCGCTTTCGTTTTGGGCATTCCGAGGTCCTTCTGATGCCTTTTGGCCTCACAAATGCCCCAGTGACCTTCCAGTCTACTCAGAATCACATCTTTCGCAACCTGCTCGAAGTCTGTGTAGTCGTCTATCTTGATGATATCATAGTCTTCAGTCCCATCTTCGATTCCCACCTTCAACACATTCGCCAGGTCCTCTTTATCCTCAAAGATCAAAAGCTCTTGCGAAGCTCAGCAAATGCACTGTCGGTGCCTCAAGTATAGAATACCTCGACCACATTGTATTCACTGATGGTATCCGCATGGACCCCTCAAAGGTCACGCCCTTTTTGAGTTTCCCCGCCTACAACCTTGTTGCAGCTTCGCTCCTTCCTCGGTCTTGCTAACTACTACTGCCCCTTCATCCGCGACTTCTTTGAAATCTCCTACCCCTCCACGAGCTCACTTGCAAGAATGAGCCTTTTGCATGGAACGGACGTCGTCGAGCCGCCTTCAACCTCCTCAAACATGTCATTACCACAACCCCTGTCCTCAAGATTATTGACCCCTCTCGACACTTCTATGTTACCACCGACGCCTCAAACTTTGCTATTGGAGCCGTTCTCTCCCAACTGTAACCCCGCGACATCCTGAACCCCTCCTCCATCACGGATTCCCCCACCCGCTCTGAGGCTCCACCTGGCGAGTACCCTATCACATTTGCAAGCAAGAAGCTCATTCCCGCGGAGATGAACTACCCCTTCAATGAGAAGGAACTCCTCACCATCATCTATGGTCTCAAGGTCTGGCGCCCATACCTCGACGGTCACCACTTCACTCTCTGCACCGACAACATCATCGTCTCAAGCATACTTAACAAGAAAGATATCACACCCTGCCAAGTCCGATGGTTAGACTTTCTCGCCCAGTTCAACATCTGTCACACCCCCGGCAAAAGCAACTGCGTCATTCATGCCCTCTCTCGACGTCCTAACCACAAGCCCCCTGAGAAAGTCTACGCCGCCATGACTCATGTTCAGCCCCTACCTTCACTCCACCATCTCGTTACTCACGAGTACTCTTTATACTCAACTCTTGGTCGAACACCACAACGCCAAGACCGCAGGACACCTTGGTTTCCATAAGACATTTGATATCGTCTCTCGCTACTTTTACTGACCCTCAGTCCTTGCCGACGTTAAAGCATACATCCGATCCTACCCCACTTGTCAAGCAGTCGACCCCTCAAACCAGGCCAAGCCTAACAAGCTTCTGTCATTGCCTATCCCCACTCATAGGTGGCAGTCCATCTCTATGGATTTCATGTATCGTTTCCCCAAGACTGATCGTGGCTATGACTCCATCTACATAATTGTCTGTCGCTTGACCAAGCAGGCCCATTTCATCCCGTGCACCACTTCTCACAATGCCAAAGACGTCGCCACACTCTTCTTCGATCATGTCTCACGCCATCACGGTCTTCCCGAAAACATAATCACCGATAATGATCCTCGATTCCTTTCCAAATTTTGGAAAAACCTGTACAAAACCTATGACACCACTCTCAATTACAACATTGCATTCCATACATTGATCGATGGTCTGACCAAAAAGATGAATGATACTTTTTAAGGGATCCTGCGAAAGTATTGCCATCCACACCAGCGCGACTGAGATCAGTTGCCTACCGCCGCTGAGATTGCCTACAACAACGCTGTGTGCCCTTCCACTAGCAAGTCCCCATACTACCTTGACCTCAACTATCATCCCCGCTTGCCCTCAGACTTCTTGCTCCCCTCGCAGCTCAAACCATCCACTTTCTATCCTTCTCTCAATGAATGGGTTGCAACAATGAACCGCCTACTCAACGTAGCCACTAACGCCCTTGAACAAACCCAACAACAACAAGCCAACAAGATCAACAAACACATACAAAATATCACATTCAGAGCAGGGGACAAAGTCTGACTCACCGCCAAACGCTTTGAACCCGAATACGGCTTGTCCAAGAAACTCTCAAACAAGTGGCTCGGTCCTTTCTCCGTCATTCAACAAACATCCCCTGTAAATTACAAATTTCAACTACCCCCTGACATTAGTCCTTCTCACCCTGTCTTCCATGTCGAGTACTTGAAAGGATATCATAAATCACCTCCACACCTTGCTGACGGCCCGTCTCCTACACCTCCACCAATCATGCTACCTATTGGGCCAAAATTCGTGGTAGAGTCTATCATAGGATGAAGAACAGCTTAAGTATCTGATCACCCGGAACCAATCACTGAATACAAAGTCAAATAGACCGGCTACCCCGATGCGGAATCCACATGGGAACCCCTCGACAATCTCATGAAACTTGTTTCTGCCTATGATCGTGCTAACCCTGTATCCTAGCTATATCCTACACATAACACCCATATGCCTCATTGCTCTCCACACACCCCCTATACTCATTAAAACCCCTGCCCTCGACCACTTTTTGTCTGATCCGCTCTTGTCTTCATTTGAATCATCTCGTTCCCCAATCTGTCTTCTCCCACATCCTTTGTCTCTCTTGACCACACCTTACCTGTGGCTCATGTGCATCACCGACGATAAAGGATCTAATGGCAAGCGCACGAAGGCCAATGGTATGCTGCAGCACAATTCGAGGAGATTAAGCAGTTGGTTGACCACCATATTGTCCTATTGGTCGACACCTGGAATCGCATACTTCTGGAGCAACACTCTTGACATGAACATCAGGATCAGTCTGCGCCTTACTCTCCGGATTAAACTCCATCCTCACGATTGTGTACCTGACGCACCCTAGCACTAGGACCTCCATCTACTGGACTGCTACCCTACTTCTTTAAAGTTGGAGACCTCGCAAGTCTGATGAAGAGTGGTTTATCATCAATATTTTGTTTATCCATACGAGGACCTACTTCATGACCTGGTTCATGCCCCTCACCGAGACCATTTTGTAGAACCTGCAATTCCTCCCCCCCCCCCCATTTACTTTGAGATCCTCACTTTCTTTATTTTTGCTCACAACACCCTTTTGCCCAACGTAACCTTGTAGCTCATTTGTACGATAACCTTGTTCCCCCCTCAAATTACAACCTTGTAGTCCATCCGTAGCACAACCCTGTTCCCTTGCAGTTCCTAACCCTATAGTTCATTAATAGGCAAACTATGTTCCCTATCGGTTCACAACTCCGTAGCCCATCAGTACGTATACCCTGTAGGTTGTAGCTCATCAGTAGGAAAACCTTGTTTCCCCCAACCCCTGCTACCCACATTATATTCCTCTCTCGTTTTCTTCCTGCTTCCCAGTCATTGACCCCATCCCATCCTGCACAGGATTCAAAATTATTTTCATGACTTATGGCAACTAGGACGTTGCCTTCTAGAGGGAGGGGATAGTGTTACGAACTAGCCATAGTCGATCCCTGGTTTGCGGGTTACCACCTGCCAACTTCCTGTATTTGTTTTCGTTTTTTTGTTTTACAATTCTTTTTTTTTTTATTCTTGTTTTTCTCATTTCGGACAATTGGCGCCATTTGCATTCTGGCGGTAGTTTTCAAATTCCTTTTTGAGGGATTTTTGGATTTCAGACACTTGGCGTCATCCGACATTCTGGTGCTCACTCTCAGACTTTCAATTTTCAATTCTCGCCCATTTTCGCTTTCGCCCTCAGGATCATACATGAGTCTGGTACTTATGTATGGACTTAAGCCCAATAGGGGCATCAAGTTTTCAGCCTCAGTGCTTATGTTCAGTGCGACTTTGCTTCGATATTGTGTTCGGGAATTCAAGACTGTGACTTTGCGACTTTTGCCACTTTGTGTCTACGTCTGGCAATTCGTATCGAGTCGGAATCGAGTTGAGTGAGCGTGTGTGTGCGCTCTCACTCTCCCTCTCTCTCCCAGACTCGCTGCTCTACCTTTGCCTTGTCACAGACAAATTGAATAGACAATGCACGAATGACTAAAATTTGTTGAAAGTTTCAGTCTTGTTGCCTTATTCCTCTCACTGTTTTTCTCTTGGTTCTCTGAAATTGTTCCTCTGTTGGATGATCGGTCTCCTCTTGGCCATAGTAGAAATGAAATGCGGATTCTTTAAGATAAACTTCCGGAGTCTGGACTCTAATACCATGTCGTACACTTTTGATCGATATATCTCCGAAATCTCGTAAGACCTTAACCTCTACCTCTCCTATAATTATATAAGGGTCAAGCCATCTAGGCTCCAAAAATTTAGTCCATTATGTCTCAAGAAAATTGTTAAAGAGGATAACAATATCACTGATCTTTTGTTTCTCTTTCCTTATATATCTCTTCTTATTCCACCTCTTTTGATTTGACAATATGCTAGTAGTCATCCTTTCTAATGCATCTCGTATTTGCTTCATCCTTATCTCTAGAAGATCTGAGACTCAAAATTTTTTTTTTCTCTTCATATGACCTGATTTTTAAAACATTTTCAACAGGCGGTGTAGCATATCGTCCATATCATAGAGTGATAGGTGCAGACCCTTTAGATCTCTTGGCATTAATGTTGTCGGTATAAACAACGATTCTTAACATCTTTGGCCATTAATTAATATTTTATTCACATCATTTAGCTAGAGAATCCTTTAAAGTCTTATGACCTCTTTCAACCGGTGCGTTAGCCTGAGGATGGTATATTGTAACAAAACGGATCCCGACTTCCAATCTAAAAGGAGTCCCGCTTACCATCTCATTCCTGGACTTTGAACCCATATCTGAAACGAATTCTCGGATGAAAGGATACCTAAGATATTTTTCTTTTATCCAATCAACAACTTGATCTACCGTTTTTCCTTTCAGAGTCCTCGTCTCCATGTATCCGGAGAGGTTATCCCTTATATTCAAAATATATCGCATCCCTCCCCTACCTAGAGGCATGGTGGTGAGATCTAAATGGACTGGACTTCCATACTCTACGAGGATGATAGGGAATAGTGACTCAAACATCCTTAAGGT